AACTGAAACTCTCGGTTGGTTTTTCAGTTGTAAAAGCACCGTCTTGTTATCCATCATGAACGATGGCAGCGCTATAAAGGAGCGAGGAGCATCTTGTCAGCTGATGGAGATGCAGTTATACAACACCGCATCAGAGGATAAACACTCAGCATTATGAACTGTGTGCTGAAGTTAGATGACCTTCACTGTCTGGATGTGATGTATGAGCTGTTTCTGTACCCCCTTACATCACCTCATTACTGTCTTTTAGTGCAGGCCTCAACCACACACCTTAACCTCTTAAGACCTGGTCCACATGCATGGACATCACATTACCACCGTAGTTATGTTTATTATTATTATTATTATTATTATTATTATTATTATTATTATTATTGATATTTTCTCTTTATTTATTTGTAATAATATTTTTTATTAAAATAAATAAAAAATGCATATCAAACAAGAGCTCAGGTCATAAGAGGTGAAATTATTGGATCATGCTGCAGGTGAATTTGGAAACTACAGTTTTATTCACTGTGCACCTGCAACACTGAAAAAAAACAGAAGCAAAATAATCTTAAGTGGAACTCATTTTTAACCTTTTTGGCAATTCAGACTTTTAATTTCATCATATTTGTTTTCTAGTTGCTCTTTTTGTAGTTGATGTATTTGTTTTAAAGCTTACATGTACTAACCCTCCTATTTAATGTTTAATGTCTCTAAATAAGTGATTGACATAATTTTTTTCAGTTTTATTTGAAGGGCTATTTACACATGAACTTGGATAACAGTTTTAATCATGATAGTTTTCTGGAGGTTTAAATTGCTGGGGTCAAATTAAACCCAAGGATAAATGATGTCAGTGAATTTGAAAGTAATAGGAGGGCTAATTAATATTTTTATTTTTCTAATTTTGCCATTTTTTTCATCTTTTATTCTCTTACTCTGCTATATTGTAAATGAGGCTTAATGTTTTTTGAGTTTAAATAAAGGTTGAATGAATGAAAGTGAATCAGTGCCACTAATACATATGAAACACAAATACAGCTACAAGAGGACTGAACATATTTACTGCCTACTACAGATGGAAAACCCAAATTCTAACTGTCATGCAAATACTGTAACTCCTCACAACCCTCAAGAACCTAAACTGGGCCATGATTCCTCACGTTTCCGACTTTTTGAGTTGGTGTCTGCTGAACGGAAACAGAGCCAGGCTCAACTCAAACCTTTATGACCTCTGACTGAATTCTGTCTATTTTAAGTCCAGGATGGCCTACAGACAGAAGTGCAGCTGTGCTTTGGGTTCGCCGGTGCCTCCCTACGAGTCTAACAGAGCGCTGGTGCTGGTTTTCAGTGCAGTTTACTACATTTGGATGCATGGAAATAAAACTTGAACGCAGTATGAGTGACAGCTGATGCACAAACATGAATTCCACCTTACAGACGTCTGGGTTTGATAACTTCCTCGGCTCTGCTCGGAGGTCAGCTCGCTTGTCAGCTGCTTCTTCGCTGCGGCAGTAAGTCAGCAGTAAGTCAGCGATGGAAAGCCAATTAACAGCTCAGGGAACATTAATATTACATAATCTGTCAGACCCGAGGCATCGCTACATCTCTCGCCACCGTGTTTTCTCTGAATAGGAAGCATCAGGAAGTAGATTCTGGGGACCAAAGTGCAAATCAAACCGCTCGAAGCCATCTTCTGTTCCAACCTCCTTGGAACTGCTGAAGCCTGAAGCTGAACAGAAGCACGATACAACAATATACACTCCAGCACATAATAATCCTGATCATTACTGTCTATACAGTGTCTCCTGGTGATGCTTCTTTTATGGTTTATGCATGTTTATATCATGTTTTTATGCTGTTTCCTTTATGCATCTATGTAAAACAATGGACTGAAGCACCATGATCAAGACTAATTGTCTGGAGGGAACATTAAATTGTACTTTTCTTTTCCCTCCTTTACATCTTTTATATTCTATAATTACCTGCTACTCCTTATGAGCCACTGTTTGGTCTTTGAAACTGGAAATTCAAATTTAAAATCTTTACGAAACACAAACAAATGTATTTACTGTAAAACTTTGTTTTTTATCCACATCTTTGGGAGGGTTGGTACAGATTTGCTCCATTAAAACACATATTTTCAGTTTTCAGCAATTTCTTTTACGGTTTTATCTGATGTTTTGTGTATTTTGATAGTTTGTGAAGCACCTTGTAACCCTGCTTTGAAAGGTGCTTTGGGAATAAAGTTTAATATTATTATATTGTTCTTACATGTTAATGGAAGATCACAGAAACAACAAGAATGAAGTAGTCCTGTCATGTCGATTTTGCTTTGCTTCGTTTTCTTGTTTCACTCACCGATTTCAATGACAAGTCCTAAGAATGTAACTTTGTTCTAAGTATTGTCTACTTTATACATCGACAGGTAAATTATTCAAATTTGAACAAATTCTACTTCCTTCAATTCAGTTTGAAGGTATTTCCATTATATTTAACTTTTTCTTCTTCACATCACATGAAATGTATTCTTTATTATACTTCCATATACGTTTGCAGTGCATTATGGTTTATTTATTAGCTTTTTTGTAATTGTGAACAATTCGATTTTTTCACTTTGGGTCTTTTTATGATAAAATAATAGCAAGACTGAAATAAATATGGTGTCTCATTTTAGCCCAGCACAGTTTGTCGTCACTAACAATTAAAAAACATATTAAAGAACTATTTTTAGTTTATATGGTGTTTTTTTGGTATTAACTTATGCAACTCTTTTGCACAATAGCAGAGTCAGTAATGCAAGTTTTAGAAACTAATTCAGTATGTTTTGGTAAATTGGGATCATTAATGTATGAAATTAAAAAATATCTCTCCATTAAAGTAGGAAGATCTATAAAATTGCCTGTTATTTTTTTTTTTTTCCCTCTCTCTTGTGTTTGTGGGATCTCTCTCTCACTTCACTGTTGCACAAAGGCGTAGCCCTGTGATAGACTGGCGACCTGTCCAGGGTGTCCCCTGACTTCGCCCTGAGTCAGCTGGGATAGACTCCAGCCCCCCATGACCCTAGTGAGGATTAAGTGGTGTGTAGATGATGGATGGATATTTGTGGGAACCAATAAAACACAACATGCATGTAAGAACTGAACTAGAAACAAAAGTTGACAAAAACTCTGCAGAACATCAGTTTCATGCTCCGTGTTGGAACTATGTGCAACCGCAGCAACAATATTAAATATAAATAAATTCAAATTAAGTGCACTGGTGTGTGATGAGAACTAGAACGTAACATAAAAGTCTCTCTGGTTTCATCCTTTATTTCATTCAGTGCCATGTCTCCTGAAGTAAGAGCGAGACACTGTGAATGTTAAGACTGAAAGTTCACTCCTGACCTTGAAAACAATAGCTGAGAAAACAGTTTCATCACGACATCCCTTCTGGAGCCGTTCTGGACCTTTTGATCGCGTCACATGATCTTCCTCAGCAAATGGAGTTGTCATGGAAACTGTAGATGTTCTAATTTCCATTCGTCTGAGTGTTTTAAGGACTTTTCATCTGCGCTGCCTTAAAGGGTTCCACTGAAAGAGACCTGATTGATTGAAACGCTTGAACAAAGACCAGACCTGCTGTTAATGTTAATAGTAGCATCTGTGCCCTTTGACATGAAATAGAAGGTAAACACAGGTGATGACATTAATGAAGGTTATGTTTAGTTATAATGCAGCTGTACCTGTGTTTCATGTCAAAAATGGCTGCTGGCTGTGAGAAAGGCCTGTTAATGCGAACACTTATAAGGCAAAGACACCAAATTCATGGACTTATGAGTATATTATGGTTCATGAATCAACAATTAATGCAGAAATAAAGTCTTTTAAAAAGTCAGTAGTGATTTATGAGGATAAGTACACTGTTATAATCACTTGAATCTGCCTTTAAATGCAGAGTTTTGTTGATAAAAAAAAAAAAAAAAGAAGACAAAAAAGGCCTGATCAGCTGGAGAAAGTCTTTGTTGTGTCTTTGTGAAACCACCAGGTGTCCTCCTTGGTCCTCACCTGGTGATTCCTCTTCTGACCTGTGTTTCCTGTGAAAAAGTCCTTTATAAACCATCAGACATTCTGACTTGTAACAGCAAGAAAAATACAGATTAACTTAATAATATCAATAAAGACACAGCCACATCGTTGCTATTTCCCAGTGAGCCATGACACAGAAGAGACTCCGTTAAGTGGAACACAGCCATCAATAATATACATAAAAGCTCTGTTTCTTCATATTGACTGGACTGGAGTGCAGTCAACGTGTTTAAAAATTAATTTATTGCTAAATTTCAGTCCTCTCTTAGTGATTTCAGCGTATTCCTCTGTGGACAATCATACATAATCAGCCCATAAACTGACAGAGAGTTTAAATTTTAATATGCAGTTGGTAGCTACCAGAATGACTTTACATCAAATATGAATGCACATGGGCACATTGAAAAGAAAGGATCCTTCATATACTTATCTTATGTATATTTAAACTGTGTATAACTTTAGCAACTATTCCAGTTTTTAATTACACTTAATATACTGTATATTAGTTTGTATGTAACTCTACAGGGCAGTCTGTCTGATAAAGGA